ATCAGATTTTTATTGAATAGTTGTGCAGTATTTTTTATCTTCAACCTGTACAGAGTTTTAATTCAAGATATGCAGTTACATGTGTGTTAATTTCCATCAACTTTTGTAAAACGTTTATAGTTAGAACAAGATCAGTATCGACCAATCAAATTGATTTTTGTGGCAGGTCTAGGATATAGAAATGAATATTTGGAAGAAGACAGTATAACAGGTATATACATTACTTCGTATTTGATCGTTCTGTTGCAATGTCTCGTTCTCTGCTTGTTTACATATTCAAATGTTGACATTTATTCAAAGTTATGCAAATATGGTCTGCCCTCTGACCTTTTTAATATTGCGCAATCTAACCTTTAAATATAAGTTCCGAGTGTATCTTTTAGCAAGAGGCTTGTGGCCTGGTGGTTAGCTTGCTGGCTGCCAGGCCAGGGGATCCCGGTTCAAATCCCGGGGTCCCCGGAAAAGGAAGTTTTTTTTTTTTTTTTTTTTTTACTAAGTTTTTTAACAAAATTGTGCATGCCCACCTGGGATTGAACCCAGGTCCTTGTGCATAGCAGTCAGTGTCCTTAACCGCTATGCCACGGCACTTTCTTGAAAAAATGTGCTCGTTTCTAAATGTTAAACCTTCCATTGTTTGGACTTAGAATATTTTTCAGCCAAAGCCTGCCTTGGGAACAGCAAGGGGTACCACTTGCATTATTTTAACTCTGGGGCTGGAAGTCTGAGAGCTGATAAGGGTGAAGAGTGGGTGGCTGAGGGCTTAGGACTATCAGTATAAGGCAAGGCTTCAAAGATCCCTTGGAGTTGGAAGGCAAGGTGCTTAATGTTCCAGATTGCTAGTGGGTTTATATAAGTCTGGTAAGAATGAGTGACAAAAAGCTTTAAGATGGAGCTTGATGAGCTTGGAAGTTTAAAATGGCAGGGCTTTGGAAAAGTCCGAAATGTAAAATCTCAAGGAAAAGAAAGCTATCACAAATCAGGGAGAGCACATCTGTTGAGATTTAGGGGAAGGGTATGTGACAAAGAACTACATTTAACAAGTAGAACTAAAAACAACTTCTTTTGTTTCTTTAAACTTACATTTATTTCACACGCAGATACAATTCAAATGGCTGCGTTGTTCATATAGTGGTTTTGTTACATGTACGCTGTACATACACCCACAGGCAAAAAGTTTAGTAATTTTGTAGCCAAACCAATTTCTGATTTGCAGTGTTGTAATCTCCAAGTAAAATCCTTTTTCCAATACTTTAAAAATAGGCAATTTTCCAATTTTCATGGAGTCCTATAATTTGTCCTATCATATAGTGATTTTTATCACACTAATCAATGCAAGTTTTGAAGATTAAAGATCTTGATAGCTTTTATACACAGGAATGTTTTTAAATGCAAGAAATATGAGGAAATCACAGATTAAATATACATGTATGATTAAACTGCAATAGCACAGATTAACCCTTACCCCTAGGGATTAAAGACAAGTAATAATATTTGTTGAATGGCAAACGGACAAATTTTGCATTCCATTATAAAAAATACTTTTTCATCATGAATAATTTAGATGAAGGTATATGTACATGTGATGTATACCAATATACGGCATTCATTTTCTCCCTAAGGAATTTCCAGAAATCACTGATTGTAATAAAATGTACTAGAAATTTCATTTAAAACTCTTATTGCATTCAGAAATATTTCTACTTTCATAATGCAACTTGTTCAGTCTATAAGAAGTTCAAACAGTTTAAAGCAAACATTCTGTTCAGTCACATTATCAAAAGACTGCTTCAGTTTTTTTACTTCTTTGGATTTCCTCGTTCTTAACTTAAAATTGATGCTTCGTTCAGAAAATGGTGAACTGAATGAGTTTGCTTCATTGAAAACAACTTTGGTTAAAGTTCTGATTAACTTGGACAATTTGCGACACCATGCTGATGTTGTTTACATGTACATGTATGTACGTACTTCTGTACCATTAATCACTTGAAACCATTTTAGGATGTTTTTTGTTGATGGAAAATAAAAGAGGTTTTATCATAAACATAATAGAACCCTGTTTAGTTCCTTATCCTCATTTGGTAGGTCTTTTCTGTGATCTACACGTAGTTAGATGGTAAATGACGTAAACTGCATTTTGAATACCGTGGTAAATCACATTGGACAGAATAAAAAGCAATTAGCTTACTGTACATACACGTAATCAAAACTATCTCTGCAATGGTTCATCAGATTCAAATGAAGTCTTTAACTTTTGAAAGAAAAATAGTAAGCTTCAATTTGACAGCAACATTCTAAAAATTAATTTGGGAAAGCTAAATGTTTTGTGTTGTCTTTTTTAGGGACACTCTGTACAAATGCACAGACTTGCTTCATCACCAGGAGGGAAGTAAGATGTAATGGTCTCATTCCTCCGCCAGGCTCAGACACTGCAATTACCAAATGTGCTGAGTTTTCAATTTGCACACACACTTGCCAAGCATTTGATCACCCTCTGGGTGTGTTTCCAGATTTCGTGCAGTCTAAGGTGAATACCAGGCAATATCAGGAAGACTGGAAGATGGGGGAATTAAGGGATTGCTTTATCCACATACATGTACATGTTGGATACACATCAGTGCTGCACTAGGGGAAGTAGATTTCTTCAGTATTACATGTACATGTACGTATGGATCCTGGTCTAGGACCTTATGGTCCTAGCCAGGGTTTCCCATGGGGGACTTATATAATGAGGTGGTCATTATTGATTTCTGATTTTTCCTTCCGTCTGAATTGTCTTTATTAACTGTGAGGTGGCAAAATTCAACAGAAAAGCTTGAGGTGGTCACTAAAATCAGTGAGGTGGGCCACCTCACAGTCGAATAGGCAGGGGAATCCTGGTCCTTGCTGCCAATTCCACTATCCCAGCATTCTGTGGCTTTTGTTCTTGTATTCATCAAATCTGACACTCGATGCCATGACAACCGCAAAAACCACTTCAACGCATACACATGGACGTTTGCACATACTGTACATGTACATGTATGGTGATCATGTGCATGAAAGTACAAACAATAGGAATCAGCACACCCCTATAGTGAATCAAAATAGGGATTTACTGTACTTGTGTCACTTGGCGATGTTTGGTTACTATCTGGAGATCTCAGCATGGCGGAAAAATGAGACCATTGCAAAGTAACTGCATCTTTGAACAGACCTAGTCTTATCCTTGCCTTTATGAATCAACGATTATGATTCTGCTGAGGATCTTGGATGTTTTAACCATGGAAACTATTCCTCCTCAGTGATGGAGACGAAAGTTGGTATGAGAGTGACGTCCTCTCCTTGACTTTCTTGTGAAGCATCTCTGGGAAGTCCTGAGAGATCTTATCCTCCCTCTTGCTTCTCTCCTCCATAATGAAGGCAACAAGGGCTTGCTTCTCATCAATACATAGATCAGCTTCTCCTCCTGCATATGCATGATGTCTCCTCCAGCATATGCATGATGTCCCCTCCTGCATACGCATGATGTCTCCTCCTGCATATGCATGATGTCTCCTCCTGCATATGCATGATGTGTCCTCCAGCAAACGCATGATGTCTTAGAAACACATTCACAGAATGAGCTGCTGGAAAAACAGAGACATTTCTGAGACAGGTGTGATTGTTACACTTTGCTTCACCTACAATAACCAGAGTTATACTGACCAGTTCAGTATTCCAACAGGGCATGCCCAAAATGAGCCATCACAGTATGACCACACTGATAAACACAATTACAGGTGCAACTTGATGCAACAAGATAATATGAGTGCAATGCAACAACGCCATGTTGCCATGGTTGCAATGCAAGAGTAAAGTGAGATTGACCAACGTACATACATGTACATCAAGCCAACAGTATAGCACAGTCTAGAAAGCTGTAGTAAAATATAAGAGAGTCAGGGAGAGTTTAGGAACATACACAATCTTTATTGCATGTTGGCCAAAAGGCAACATACACCTTTTGTGAATGCATGAAAATTCTTACCTTCTGCAACCAATGACGTTAGCCGCATCTTTAAATTTGAAGATTTCATTGTTGGTCAGTCTAATCTCACCACGATGACAGATGTACATGTATTTACCAGAACGCAGGAAGGCATCACAGCATCTTCAACTGGTAACATCGCCTTCCCAAATCTGAAAACAGGGAAAAGCAACAAAATTAACAAGAAAAGGTAACCTTGGGATATTTCAACCACAGAGTAACCATAGTAACAGGTACTGGTACACGTACATTTTGTCAAAACATACAAGTCTGAACTCTGCTCACATGCAGAAAACCACAGTGCTCGTCAGTGCAGGAAGTACCATGATTGGTACAAGAAGAAATTATTCTTATAATTCTGTGATGAAAGAAATGAGGCAACGTACTCTACATGTATCAGAGCAGTGAAACCAGAAGATGAACTCACAGGCAGGGGACCAGCTATGCCGCCATCGCCTTACTCTGTCAGGGAAGTGATGCTAAAATGATGATGAACCCACAGGTGGGGGACCAACCACGCTGCCATCACCTTACTCTATCAGGCAGTGGTGCCAGAAGATGTGCCCACAGGCAGGGGACCAAACGGACCAATAATGCTACTATCGCCTCTAACACCTGGTGAAAAAGAGAAGATAAAAAGGAAAAGTTACCAGTTGTGCTGGAGTGCCCTGACAAATACACCTTTTTGATAATGCTCCCTTACAGGTTGAAAGTGAATTGAACTTGCTAAATTAACGTCAACAAGGATCAATAACTTGAAAATGTTCAGGTCAAACCTAACTCTTGCAAAAATTTACTTTAATCCTTCCTGAGTTGATAATCCTGTGAATAGATTTCATTCAAAGGCAAATCCACTCAGAGTGGACTACAATAAATTTTTGCAGGATTCAAATTAGTGCATGTAGACTCAGGCAGTGCTTTCACAAGTACATGTACATGTGTACATATGCGGCATACCCAGAGCAGAGCGTATGCATGATGCACCAGAGAGTTTTAATTCATGTAGTAGGTAAAATTATATTGGAAATTGGAGGATTTGGGACTGTTACAGTTAAATAATGTAGCTTAATTCCATCAGGGTTCTTAAGCACATACAAATTTGCACATATGTATACAATACAAAAAGATTTATAAATTGCTTGGGATGTAACTACAGTTAACTAAAATTAGACCGTTTGATAAGTAGACCAAAAAGAAAGATTGCTTGTACTGCTTGTGTGTGTGCCAGGAAATACACAACACAGATTGTCATTAAGAAATGAAGCCTGAAAATTCTAAAAAAAGAACAGAAAATACCCACTTTCTGAGTCTGGCAAGGGTTAAAATATGATTGTTTGAAAAACAACCTCTCGTATCATTCCTCTTTCATTTGCCTACACTTTGCAAGTACGGTACATGTACCACTTTTTTCTTGTTGGCTGCCATTTCAGTTTCAAGCACTACAAATGGAACCGTTCATCACAGTGATCATATGCAACCGTGCTCCCAGTCATGCTAGTGGCATTTGATGACCTGTATATATGCAGTACAAACTCTGATTGGCTAACTCAGTGTCTGAAGGTTGAACATTCCATGTCTCTGCCTGTCTTCCGGTCTCCATGTTAACAACTCTGGAAGACATGCAGTCTCCACATGATCTCTTGCCTTGGCACCATTGTGGATTTTGCTTCACCACCTAGCACCCGGTTTTGAGGAAAAATTTGCTTGTCTAGAGAACAGAGTCAGCACATTCATGATTGCAAACGAACATCTACATTTGTAGTAATGATGTGTCTTGTGTTCATGAAGGCAAAAGTCTTTGTCTTCAGTTGCCTCTGTGATGGAATTATCTCTAAACTGAGATTCAATATTCAGACCTTGAGGATCCGTTCCTTCATAGTAGTAGCTCTAGTTCAGGTAAATTTTGACAATTGTACAGTTAGCAAGAAGCCAGTATTTTTTACCAGAGTTTGGCCAAAGACGACCGCATCATGCCATTTTGTTTCACGTCGTTACCCAACCTAGAGATTGTGGATATTGGCCTGCAGAAACTTTGATGTTTTTGGTCAAGGAACTAGACTACATGTACATGCGCAGATTCGTCTTCGTTCACAGCTCTTCATAGCATCATTTACATGTACATAGGCCTATGATACATGTACAATGTGTACCAGTCCACTAAGGTTTTACCCCCCAAATCCCTCAAAATCCAAAGCCCTCCTTTTTTTCTGATATGATGAAAGAAGTCATCACCGCCAACTTCTCTAGGAAAGTTGTTTTGAAAGGTAAGGCCTAGACTTTAGTTTGCTTGGCCTAAATGAAGGAAAAGGGTGCTACTATTTTTGGTCTCAATGAATGAACGCCGTTTTGTGCATCACTGATCACACTCACACTGTGAGTCACAGTATGACCATGACAGAACACCAAGAAGTACACGTTTTTTGGAAAATTTAAAGCGATACTCTACCTTTTGGTTTGCTAGCCATGATAGTTGCTCGCCTTGTACTAGCCCCACTAACATGACTAAGTAAGTGTGGCATGGCACGGACTCTCACTCCATATCCATACATGTAAATGTCGCATACACAATTTCGTGTCGGCGTACACTTATCATGATGGGCACAATTTCTTCTGCACACGGACATGATCCTTGACCTTGCCGCTTTCTAAAAACCATTTATTGAATGATTTTACTGGCGTTATTTACGTATTTTCCAGTCTTTTTGCCTTTATCCATTCAATCTCACTCGCTCTTACAGTCGCCATCTTTAAAATAAGGTCGTTGAACGTCAGTCACTTGACCCCTAATCTTTTCGGCGGCTGTTCCATGTAGAGACATCTAAACTGCTGCGGAGATTCGGAAGAGCCCATTAGTACATGTATTACCTTATTGCTCAGTCCGTGGATTACATATGTCTCGACATGGAGCAGCCGTAAAGAAGATTAGGGGTCAATCATTCAGATAATGCATGATAAGTAGGTGCGCCGAGAATGTTCAGTTCGCCGACGCGAAATTACGTAAACAGATGTGTGGCTTAAGGATGGATCGGGAGTGAGAGTCCGTGCTAAAGCGGTACAGTGGGGCTTGCCTTGTACACGATGTACAGTACATGTACACTGTACATGTACTGTACATTTAATACAGATACCAGTCTCAACTGAACTCACTAACTCTGATCTCAGCATGGTCAAGAATGCAGTTTCGCCTAATAAAGAGCGCCCTCATCGAAAGGAGTCCGTATTACTTTTCGTAAAATAATTTCGCCCTCAAGAAAGAAATTGAATTGCAGTTTATTTTTTCATCTGTGTGTCCCCTTCGTATGGAATTCCATATCTGCCGTCGCCCGTCGTCCGTCGCATGTTGC